TACAGCAGCCACAGGGTGAGGACGCTGGCTGCAGAGGCCCAACCCAGGCCCGGCCTTTCGCCCCAGAGCTGGGCACCCCAGGTGCTCCAGGTGTGGGATCCTGCGAACGGCCTCTGGGCACAAGCACCTCGGCCACCCACCCCAGGAACGCCGGGCCCCCAGACTGCCCAGAGCAGGTAGCCACAGCCCCTCCCGAAGGCCAGGAGACCGACACATGGTGGGGACTTCCTCACCGGCAACCTCGGCGTTTAAACACCTGCACAGGTAAACGCAGCGCTCGGACCGAGGTAAGAACAACAAAAAAGCGTAAACGCAGCTTCCTGGAGGCACATGTAGCCCTGTGCCCCTCCCAGGCTAGGGGCCCAGCTCCTTGCAAAGGGACTTCTCCTTTCTTGGCTTGGGGAGTTTCGCTGCCCATGGTTCCCCTGCCCAGGCGCCAGCCCCACAAACACCAGAGTACAGAGGGAAAGCCCTGGGGACACCCATCTCGTGGGGCTGCCAGCAGTGCGGTGAGGCAGGAAGCTCCAATTACGCAACAGGAGGGAGGCGCCCGGAGGACCTATGCTGGGCGGCCCCTCCTCACGGCCAGGCTCCCTGCCGTCCTGCAGCCTGTCCTCTGGGACCTGGGCGGCCACTCTTTCAGGGCACCCACCTTCTCAGCCTTGCCCACGCTGGGGCCTCTCCTCCCAGGGCAGCCTCTGCTTCCGCCTGCTCTGGCCATAGCCTCCAGGGGCTGCCTGCGTTCCCGGCTCAGCTTCAGGCCCAGGCCAAGCCCGGCGGTCGGCGCCCTGTCTGCACAGCGGCTCTGTGGCTCGCCGGTAGCCTCACTGGCCCCCCTCGGCCCGTGCAGTCCCAAGACCTGCGCCCTGGGCCCCTGGAGCACTTGGTCTCCACGCTGGGCACCTGCCCCGCTGCCGCCGGCTGGGCTTCCCAACCAGACCAGGAGCTAGCTGAGCTCACACCAGCTCCAGACCTAGGTGGACGCCAGGCTGGAGCTTGTTAACTGCCAGTAGAGTTGGGCCGTCCCCAGAGGCGAGTGTGCCCCGCAGGCTGTAAGCTGTGGAGTGGGGCACTTGTCACTCAGCGCCCACCCAGTGGATGTGCTACATCAGGTAAGGGGCTGCTGGTACCCCAGAGAGTGGGCCGGGAAGCATCTTGGCCAGGTGCCGGACACCCACAGGTTCTCATGTCCTCAGGACTTGAGAAACAAGTAAAATGACTTTTTAAAAACCCACAGGCAACCTCGACGGGGGAGCTCACACTCAACCAGGCCCAACTTCACAGGCCCATGTCCTACCAGCCTGTCCTGGACACGAGGAACCTCCAAGCCCTCTGTCTTCTGCCTCCACAGGCCATTCTCCCCAGGATCTCGTGCTGGCCCTGCCCTGACCCTTCCGAGACCTAGGGACACCGAGGCTTCTCCTGACCGTACCAGCTTCCTGAGAAGCCGGGCCTGCTGCTCCCCTGGGACAGAGGTACAGCAGGCTGTGCTCGCTCACTCTCATCACCTCCTGGGGCTCCTTTAAGGAGCCAGGCCCCTCATGCTGACCCCTAATAAATACACAGGCCTCAAGAGAGCCATTCCAGTCCTAGGCATGTGGCCGCCAAGAGGTGCACAGGAGCGCCAAGAGGAGTAGCACTCATCAGTGGCCAGAGGGAAGAGACCCGAAAGGGTTGTACACACTGGGCCCACTTCTGCCACGGAAGGTGACAGGGTGAGCACGAGCCTTGGCAACAGCGGGTGACCAGGCCACTAACACTGAGCAAAGGGAGTGGCCCAAAAGGACTGAAGACAGAAGCTCAGGGACTCGCGGCTGCGGGACGTGGTGGACGAGGGCCGAGCCACAGAGAGTACAGGGAGGGAGAACGAGGTGGGGAGAAGTCCACGGGGGCAGCTGGAGTCGAGGAAGACCTGGATGGCGAAGGGACACTGGACCGGCATGACAAAACCCCCACTGACCTAGCATGAGCAGTCTCAGTGGAGCGAGGGGAGGAAGTGGGACCCTCAGCTAACGGCCTGTCTGCCACGGTGGGCCGGGAGGGGAGGCCCGAGGCCTGGGCCGACCGGGCGCGTCTGGCCAAGCGCAAGGAAACCTGAGCATGTTTGCCACCAGGGGAACGCGCTGAGTGGCGCCAGGACAGAGTCAGGCACGGGGGGGGGCAGGTGACCAGTGGGCTGGGGAGCACGGCACGCCTGGAAAAGTGCCCGGGACACCTAAACAGGCCCAGTGGCCTCGAGGGCCCCGCTGGGAGCTCCGAGTCTGGAAGGATGGTGACTACTGCTCACACCCGCGTTACAGCCCACCTGGCCGGCTTCCCAAACATCTCCCGCCCCGTTTTCCGTCCAGTTTTCGCTCACAATAATCACCAGACACATTTCCTCAAGACTGGACCAGCTCGAGCCTCAGCACTCACACTGCAGCCCGTCAGCTCTAAAAAATTTTCTCATACTTTAATGGCTTTGAGATTGGGTTGCGCCCGGCAATCACTAGCACAGAGGTTAATGGTGCTCTTCCATTCTTAGAGGACCACGGTGCGTCACTGCTGTATCAGATCTGAGAAGGCAACGACCATCTCCCCTCGGCCCACAGAGCCCAAGCCGGAAGCCCAGAGACCTCCCTCCCAGAGCCTCTCCCGTTACTCCATCCCATTCCCAGCCACCCCCGCCCCTCCCCCCGAGCCGGGACAGCCTCCTGCACTATCCTCCTCCCTCCCTGAGACACGTGATGCCAGCACCATCTTTCCCACACCTCCTCCCCACCCAGACACTATCCGGGCCTTCTGCTATCAAGCCCTCAGTCTGGCCACAACCTGTTCATCCGGTGTCACCAGCTACTGGGTCCCCAGCCCACGCCAAATACAGCCTATGCCACAGAGCCATCTTGCCATCTCTGCTGCTGCCAGCACCATGGAAAACCGCACATCGCCCTACAGTGTTGTCCACGGCTGCCCAGCCCACAGCGCCAAGCGGGCTGCACGCTTGGCACACGGCAGGGTGAGAACCACTCTGTGGCTGGAGATCACCCAGCCCTGCTCTGTCTGTCGCCCCCAGGTGAGTCTCTTCCCTCCCTGGGCCTTGGAGTCTTCATCTGAGCCAAAGTAGCCCCCGAGAATGTCCACCAGGCCCTTCAGTTCAACAGGCATCCAAGCACAGCCACATGGGACCACCACCTCCAAGGCCTCTGTGGCTGCTTATCCAACAAGACAGTGGACAGGGCAGTTGCAGAAAGAACGTGTCATCTAACTGGGCACTTCTGGGAATGAAAGGGATGCTGCTGATTATGGAGCGTGAGCCAGGACAGCTCTGGGCAGGCCGAATGCAGAGACAGCCCACTTGGGGCTGATGGAAACCCGCAAAACTACAGGGCACAGTGAAGGGGCAGCAGGGCCATCAGCCACAGCAAACACCTGCCAGAGGCTTACTGTGGAGCAGCCACTGTGCTGGGCCAGGGAGGACCCTGACAACCCCCATTCTGAACGCTCGGTGGGTGCAACAACCTGCCACCCAGCAGGGTGGGGTCTGGACCCCAAGGGACCCTCAGCCTCTGGGCTTCCAGGGCCACTGCAGTCAGGGCCAGGCCAGGATGGCTCGGGTGGCATGACCACCCCAGAGCCTGCCTCTGTCCTTGCCTGCACCCCTGGCAGGCCCCTGGAGCCCTGGCATCCTTGTGGCTCTGCTCAGACACAGGGAGAGAGCCTTCCTGGGTGGATCTACATAGCACCTTGCTCTTCCATGGGAACAGAGGGCTTAGAGACCTCCTGGGAGGAGGCAGGGTGTGGGGGGACCTGAGGCCCAGTCTGCGGATCTCATCTCGAACTCTTTCCCCACACAGAGCCGTACACCTAAGGACAGGCGGTGAGGTGATACTCTGTTGTCTGGAGAAGTAACAAAGGATATTCCAGAGTTAGAATCAATGATGCAACAGAGACCATTCTGTGTTTCTTTAGAACTTTTGATCCACACTCAGATTTTCTCTGACCCCACTTCTCCTCCATACTCAGTGTCTCTGGGGCTCTCCACAGCCCAGTTTCTGCCCATGAGACTTCTAGAAAATAATCTACCACCCCAGCAGGCGCCAGGAGGATAAGCACTGGACTAGATGCCACATGGGCCTGGTGGTCCCCTGAAGACCCCAAGGCAACGCCTCTAAGCACTGCGCCACCCCCTCGCCCTCCTTCCTGGGAGAAGTCGCAGCTCCCCTGTTGTTACAGACCCAAGTGCCTCACCCCCTCCCACGGCCAGCCCTTCCACTCACCCCAAATCAAGCCTGTCTTCAGGACTCAACTCCGGCACCCTTCCCTCCCCACCTCTACCGCTCTCTAAAAGCTCTGGACACTCCTGGCGGACACCTCCGGCCCTTTGCTCAAGAAGTCCTGTCTGCCCAAAACGACCCCCGGGGGTCCCGCTAACCACCACCTTCTCTGGGAAGTCTCCCTGGGGAGACGGAGAGCACG